GCTGCCCCTGGCTGCGGACTGCCTTTCCGCTTCCAGAGGCGCTGCCGGGGCTGTTCCACGCATCCCACGGCTGAACTGCAGCAGGGTCCTGGTGCCAGGGACAGGACCAGACCTGTCACCCGTGCCTGGGAGGAGGGGGTCACCGGGGCGCCTGGACTGCCCGCACTAACAGGACCGTCTGCCCCCAGGCCCTGGGAAGACTCGCCGGGGAGCCCGATGCAAGGGTGTGACAGCGGGCTGGTCCCCTCCCGGGGTCGGCGGTGGGGTGGCAGGTTGTGATCCGTGCCCTGTCTCCAGCAGCTGTCTGCCAGGCAGCAACATCAAAGGGCCGCCTGAGCCAGATCCCTGGGGGGCAGCACACCAGAAAGTGGGGCTGAGCAGCCGGCGCGCGGGTTCTCCCTGGCCCCGGGCAGCGCGAGGGGGCCCGACTGGTCCAGCGCGGCCCCAGCACCCAGCAGGGTGGGGAGACCATCCTCTGATCTCCGGGCTGGAGGGTGCTGCCTGGGGCGCTCTGCACAGCAAAGCTGGGGAGGCTCGTTTGGAGCCGGCCGGGCCTGCCGGGATGCTTTCCTCCTCCGTGGGTTTGGCTCTCCCAGCCCGTGAGCGGGACGAGCTGGCGACAGGATGTGTGAGAGCGCGGCTGGACTCGGCGTTTCCCCCGTGCGCACCCATGCACTGGCTTCTTTCTTTAAGCCACTGGTGCCCTCTGGACCCTGTGGGTGACTGGTGCTGAGCGGGATGAGGTGGGGAGGATGGGGGGGTCTTGCGGGAAAGCCTGCATCATCAGGGCACGCGGTCCCCGCTGCTTGCTCTGCACCCAGTGGGGCTGTCCCACCCTCCATGCTGGCTGCAGAATCCCGCTGTCTTGCAAGCAGACACCCATTCGCAGGGGAAACCGTGTCCCCAGGGACCTGAGGCTCTCGCTCCTTGGAGCTCATGGTCCCAAAGGGCTGAGAGGGCAGGTGGGAAGCAGTGCGTGCTCCGTCAGTTCACTTTATCCCTCTTGTCTTGCACTTGCAGGTCCCGTCCCGTCCCCTCCCCTTTCCCCAAGCCCTGCTGGGACTTGGCAGTGCTTTGGGCTTGCTGCCCCGGGACGGGCAGCCTGCCTGCGAGCCTGCCTGCCTTCAAAATCTCTCGGGTTACAGAGTGGCTTTCCCTGGTAGGTAGCTGGAGAGGCGGCGGCAGGAAAGCCGTCCTGGCCTGGTTTCCTTTGTGAAAGCACCGGCAGTGGGAATGTCATAGGATCCGCTCTCCTCTCCCCGAGCAAGAGGAGGAGAAAAGGGCTCTGTGTCCCGCTCCCCCCGGGCAGGATGGGGCCGGCAGCCGGGCTGTGCGGGCAGCGGGGTCCTGTTGCGCTGCTGTCGCCTCTCAGGGTGGGCTGGGAGCGAAGCGTCGAGGGACGGGGAGATTTTGGCCGCTGTGAAAAGGCTTTGTGGGCAAGAGCGTTGAGGGGGGATGTGGTGGCTTGTTTGGAGGCTGTGACGGTGATGGAGAGCTGCTGGCCGGGGAGGCTGCCGTGGCGCGCCGGTAACGCTCCAACCTCCCGGTGGCCCCTTCGCCGAGGCTTGCAAAGTATCTCACAAATGCTGAACTTGGCCCTGAAATCTAAATACAAGGGAGGGACAGTCCCCAGATGGCCTAAATCAGCAGCATGGTTGCCTGGCTCAGCTGGGGAGCTCGCCGGGAGTGTTTGTTTTATGTAACAACAAAGGCTGGAGGCATGCCGGCATGAAAGGGGACC